ATTGGTCATTTTCAACTTACGACTGTTTGTGGGACATTGCTGTGCGCAATTGGCTGCCGCGTTCGCCCACAAATATACAGTCAATTCACTTTACAGTGTGTTCTGTGAAGCGCTTTGGGACGTCCTCCCGACATGAAAAGCGCTATATCAAATGCAAGGATTATTATTATTATTATTATGATTAAAAGCCAATGCTGCAAAGCTAGGTATTAAACTTTTCAAGCTTCATGACTTTCTAGAAGCTTCCTAACTTTTCGCAGGAGCCTTCAAATTGTTGTAACCATCCTGTTCTTCTGGACTATCAATTCCAATGTGGAGTCCTATGGCAGAGTGGTTAGCGCACTCACCTCGTAAGCGAGAGGACCTGGGTTCAATTCCTGGGCAGAGTGATACATTGGGCAAATTTCCTTACTCCTCACGCCTCTGTTTACCTAGCAGTAAGTAGGAACCTTATTACTATACATATAGTAAATTACAATGCAAATTTACATACACACATGTATAATATATATCATTGTTCACATCCAGAGGACGTGTCAAGGTGATGGACAGTCTGAAGTTTACATGGAAGTACAGTATCTATCTTTAATGCACTGGTACAGTACCTATCTTTAGTGCACTGTTACAGTATCTATCTTTAGTGCAGTTCATTTCCTGAGAAGTGCACAGTTTCAAATATAGTAACAAATAAACAATAGGAAACCGAAAATAAGTGCATTTATAGACATGTGTCTATACGTATACTATTCTTAATTTAAATGTGTTTTTAACAAATTGACAGTCGTAAACCAGAAGACACTATAAGCACAGCAAATTCCAGTGTGCAAATATCATACTTTTAACCCCACCATGGACAAACTTTTAACTGCAGATGTTTGAAAAAAATGTAGATGCAAAATATTAAGGGGAACAAAAGATGTTTAACTGGGATTGAATGACCTTTTCTGAAAAATGTTGATTGCATAATTGACTTTTTAAATATTTTCCCACTTCACTCCCATTTCCTGAAGATTACACTCGTTGAAGTTCCACTGTTCCTGTTCAGCACTTCTTCACCAAGGTGATGTTGTCAATTATTCTTGGTTTTACAACTGAAACCACAACAAAAATAATTAAACACCTTGGAGTGATTCATTTTTTCTTTCACAGATAAAGGTGCATTGGGATGAGATGTTAAACTAAATTCCTGTTTGCCTGTTCAGGTAGATGTTAAAGATCCCATGGCACTACGAAAAGAGAAGAATGTCTTGGATAGCATTTTCCACCCCAAAACGATCTGGTTGTTGGTGGGATATGAGTGTTTGTGGAACATTGCTGTGAAAATTGTTTGCCCACAAATGATAGTCACTACATTTTACAGTGTATCCTATGATATACTTTGAGACATGCCCCTGACATGAGAGGCACTATATCAAATGGAAGGATTATTATTTAATCGATTAGAGTTATATAATTGAAGGCAGAACTGAAATTAAACATCATAAGAGTCAGCCTGACCACAAGGTGAGCCAAATGGCCAGTGTGGACATGATGAATCAAATTGCTTTTTGTGCCATAAATTTCCATAGTTCTATGAAATATTTTCATATTTATGCTGGACAATCAGGGATTTGGACCCAAACTGGGTGGTGGGGGTTGGGATAAGCGAGAGTAGGAGGGTGGCCGAAGGCATGGTTGAAGAGGCGGGTCTTGAGATGTACCTTGAAGGAGGCAAGGAAGGGAGCGAGGCAAAGGGAATGTGAAATGGAGTTCCAAAGGGTGGGGACCGAGTGGCTTAATTCCCGACTGCCAATGGTGGGGCAGTCTGGGGCAGGCCAGAGCCTGCTGAACAGAGGGAGTGGACAGGTTGATATGGGGTTAGCAGGTCACATAGTTAGGAAGGGGAAAGGCCACTGAGGGTTTTGGAGGTGAGAATGAGGATTTTTAACTCCTGAGGAATAGAGGGTCAGTGGAGCCGGGAGAGGGTGGGGGTGATAGGGTCATGGAGGCTGGTGTGGGAGAGGGCATGAGCTGCAGAGTTCTGGATGATCTGCAGCTTGTGGAGGGAAGAGTTGAGAAGACCGACAAGGAGGGAGTTGGCGTAGTTGAGCCTTGATGTGGTGAATGCATGAATGAGGGTTTTGGGGTGAGGCAGTGGTGGATTTTTGGTGATGAGGTGGAGGAAGGCATAGCGGGTCATGGCACGGATGTGAGGGGGAAAGGACAGCTGAGGGTCAAACAAGATGTCAAGGTTCCTGACTGGCTCAGTGAGGTGGAGTGATCATAAGATGGCAGTGGCTCCTTGCAGAGTGTCTTCAGCTGCTCATTTTTGTTGTGCTAGTTTGATGCACAGTAACTTTTCATATATTTCATATTCATCTCCCCTCTCACACTCACTTTTAAACACTTTGTATTCTTCCCTCTCTCACACTTTTACAAACCTTCAAACTCGTGCTTCCCCCTCTCTCACATTCAGTTTTTCACACCTTGAAAAGTTATTCTCCCCCTCTCTTCACACACTCACTTTGTCCCAAGAGAGCAATTAGCGAGGAGGACATATTGATTTTGGGGGTGAAAGGGTGGTGTCTGCCTCTAGCCAAGACAGTCCTAAGATGTTTTTTGCTTCAAACTGTAGACACAAAAAATTAGAAGTATCTGCAGAACAATATGATGATCTCTAGCTCAGAATTTGGAGTCATTCCAGATGTGAAGGTGAATTATAATAATTAATAATCATTGCATTTGACACAGTGTTGGGAGGATGTTTAAAAGTGCTTCACAGGACTTTAAAATGTGTCTGTATTTTTGCTGGCAAACACAGTGTGTTGATCAAGGCACCAGGAGAAACTCCCTTCTCCTTTCAAATAGTACCATGAGATCATTAACGTCTCCTGAATAGGCAGATATCTCATCTGAAGGTGCCATCCTTCGTAAACACACTTCAGTGCCTCTCAACACGGTTCCACCGTCACTGATGTAGACGGGCAGTAAGTGCAGGATCCAGCTCACCTCAGTGAAGCTTTTGCATACTGCCCCTTCTCATCCACTCCCCTCACACTGTAAATCAGTGAATCCGACTTGCACCAACTTACTGTGTCTTGTCAGAGCTCAGTAGGGATACAAAGAATTGACCTTCAGTCATTTTTATGCAGCAATGTCTGGACATTGAATTATGAGCAGCAGCAACACAGATGCTGCTCAGCTTTGATTTCAGGAACCAAACTCAGCAGGATATATAAAACCAGGGATTTGCAGATTTAAAATAGAAAGGATGCTTGCTCTAAATTCAATGTTACTGTGGGATCGTTCAGGGCTAGTTATGTGGACTAGCCAAATTGGAAGTCATTTTTTCCACACAAAAAATTTTTCCGATAGTATTTTTTATTACCTTGATTTATGAATTAGTTTTAATCAGAACTCAGATCAGTTAAATGTCAAGAAATACTGGATCATATGAAACTTACTGTGTATTTCACAATTTATTTCTTCCAAAATAACCACAGACATGGTGGTGGTGGATCGAAATATTTGCTTGGAAGTAAGTAAAATAATATTGAAAATGTGTAATTCCAGTGAGGGGGTGGGGGGCGGGTGTATGATAATAGACTTGCACTTGATATAGACAAATGTCAGGAGGACATCTCAAAGCGCTTTACAACATTTACCATAAAGTAGTGACTGTGTACTTGAAGGTGAACTCAGCAGCCCATCTGCCACAGCAATTGCCCACAAACAAAAAGTGAATCCGCAATTTTATAAGGAGGAGAATATGATAGTATTGTCTGAGCTATATCCCGGCAGGACTAGGAGCTGAATATTACTATTTTTCAGATTGGAGAGATGTAAACCGTGGTATCCCCCAGCGGTTCGTGATAGGAGCTTCTGAATGTATATAAATGATCTGGACATGGGTGTAAGGGAGGCATAATATCAACATTTAAGATGACACAAAATATGGCTCATGGCTAACTGCAAGAGATTTCAGGGTGGGAATTGAGTGACGAAATTGTTCAGACACCAACTGTTGGTCTTACTGTAAGAAAACAAAATTGTGAGGAGTTTTTGAACTCCAGAGCCTTGGAAAGCCAGTCAGAGATAACACTAAGCTTATTACCAGAATCACATGAGTACCTCTGCTCTGATCCTTTTTGACACTGTGAATCAGAGTCAATGCTAGAAATATGTACAGAAAAAATAGTGTTCACAAAACAGACGGCCTGTCTAGCCTGCAGGCTGATGCTTCTGGAGCAGAATGGAGCTCATAACCGTTCCCTGAAAATGCCATATCCTTTGGAATACTTCCGGTGCATAATTCATTTCTGTGGATGACAAAATATATAACAAAAAAATATGACAAAAAAAATGCAATGTGGTTGTTGAATCAATGCAACGTGTTGTTGAATCGAGCATCACTAACACGCTGAACTGGTTAACTTATTTCTGAACAGCTCCAGCCAGTTTGTTCACATGCTGGAGTACAAGGCATACCGACCTGCAGCCTGGCACAGACTGAGAGCAGTGCAGGAGCCAACGTACAAAAAAAATAACTCAGCAATCTGCAAAAAGCCACTTGTGGATCCAGAAGCCCAGATTGAAGAGCGTTAGAGAGTTGGGTCACTAACGTGTGGAGACTTTCCTAATTATTTGATCCGCTGTTTTTTTTAAAAAAAAATACAATCCAGTAACTTTGCAAAGCAGTGAGGAGTTGCACTCACAGGTCGATGATCCGTTTATTCCTGTAAATTCGAGCGATCCTGACTTTTAACCAAAGCTGATGCCTTTCTCACAGTTCACAAAAGTGGGGATGAATCTTTGACACCAACGTGAGGGTGTAAACAGAGGCAGTCCAGGGGCTCACACTGGATTCAAGGCAGAGTCAGAAACTCCTTGGATTATATCCAGGTCCCCTTCCACTCCTAGAATAATGCCCTCGGAATAGATCGTCCATTTTCCACACAATGTTCATTCAGTGAGAAAGCACTCACAGCACTGCTGGACAGGGGATCCAGATTCCTTGTGGGGGAGAGGGGAGGGGTCGGTGGCCACAGTTGATCTGTGAGCTCATTCACTGAACTCCCTGCACACAGCAAACACCAGGGACAATGCAAGACTATGATGAAGCCATCGCTTTCCTGGGAGATTGGGGAGCCTTCCAGAAAACTGTGTTCTTTTTGTTGAGTGTTTCAGTTATCCCTAATGGCTATGTGGGTCTGTCCATGGTGTTTCTGGCAGACACCCCTCAGCACCACTGCCGTCTGCCTGACTCTCTGAACGGAACCACTGGAGAAGCTAATCTGAGTTCACTGCTGCCTGTAGAGGAGGTGGATGGTGAGATGATCTACAGTCGATGTAGAAGATACAAAACTCCTGCAACAGATGCTTTAAATGCCACAACACGTGAGACTGAGCCCTGTGTGGATGGCTGGGAGTACAGCACTGACAGGTACATCTCTACTATTGTCACTCAGGTAAGAATTTAAATTGTTTTCATTCAAAAAAAACTTTAGTGTTAAAAAAGATACGACAGCAGCAACTTGCATTTATATAGCGCCCTTCATGCGCCTTGAGCAGAGAGCCCAGCAGCGTGAGGAGGGAACTGAGTGAGGTGGAATAGAGTGAGAATTCTGTTAAAGAATTTGGTGAGAGTGGGAACCAGGTGCAGGTGAGAACTTGTTTTGATAATAATAATAATAATCCTTGCATTTGATATAGCACTTTTCACGTCGGGAGGATGTCCCAAAGCGCTTCACAGAACACACTGTAAAGTGAATTGACTGTATATTTGTGAGCGAACGCGGCAGCCAATTGCGCACAGCAATGTCCCACAACCAGTCATATGGATTGAAAATGACCAATTTATTATTATTTTGTTTTTTTGGGTGTGTCCTTGTAAAGGAGGAACAGAACCAGTGAGATAGCTCAGTGCAGGAGCCATTTTGGGGCCTGCGAGAGATCGGAAAGTGAAGTCAGGCGTAGAAAACGGGAGTTTCACTTGGTCTAGACATGGGGCGCAAAAGGTGTGAAATTACTTGTTTACCTATTTACCCTCAAATTGTTAAGGGTAAAATAGATTGAAGGGAAAATAACTAAAAACAAATAAATGGCAAAGGTAAAACCTCGTAAATTTAAAAAATATATATAAATAATCCTAAATGTTAAGTGGAGTAGAAGCTAGAAAGGGATAGTGGCAACACAGGTAGTGTGTTAAAGCTGCAGTATGTGTGAATTTGTGGACAGTAAGACTGTCCCTGATGCTCACATCTGTGAGAAGTGCACGTGTCTTGAGTCGACTCCGGCTCAGCATTTTTGACCTGAAGTAAGTGTTAGAGAACACTCCGACACATAAAGGAGGAGGAGGAATATTTGGACAGTTTACTTCAGAACATAGCCACACCACATAGAGAGGTAAGGAAGAGGAGTGTGAGATTGATAACCAGCAGGGTAGCATTTACTTAGTAGAGACAGAGAAGGAGGCACTGGTCCTCTCCAACAGGTACAATGTATTTGTTAAATTGGATGAGGGAGAAATCTGTGGGGAAGGAGCTCTGAATACTTTTATATATACTATTTTGAATATACTGAATACAAAGCACCACAGAGCAGAAGGCAGTGCAAGCAGGGGAGGAGCAGAATAGAAACATTGTAGTTATAGGGGATGAAATAATTAAGGGGATCGAGGGTATCCTCTGCAGTCGAGATCAAGAGTCCAGGAGAGTGTATTGTCTTCTCGGTGCCAGGGTAAGGGATAGTTCAAAGCAGTTGGAAAGGAACTTGGAAAAGGAGGGGAAAAAAACAGTTGTTATCCATGCGGGAATTAATGATATAGGAAAGAGCAAGAAGGAGGTCCTGCTAAGGGAGTATAAAGAGCTAGGGATTAAATTAAAAAACAGGACCTCAAAGGTAGTAATCTCCGGATTGCTACCTGAGCCACGTACAAATTGGCATAGGGATAATTAGATCAGGGAAATTAATGTGTGGCTGAAAGTGTGGTGTGAGAAGGAGGGATTCCATTTCATGGGACACTGGCACCAGTACTGGGACAGGAATGAGCTGTACTGCTGGGATGGGCTGCACCTGAACAGGGTTGGGACCAAGGTACTAGCAAAATGGACAAATATGACAGTAGAAAAAGCTTTAAACCAGTAAGGGGCGGTGGGGGGGGGGGGGGAGGTGGAGGGGCAGGTCAGGTGGAAACCAAAATATAGGCAAAGCGAGGATGAGAGCAACGGTCAGAATACAAATAGTGATAAAGATAACGTAAATACTCAGGAAAGAAAAAGGCAAAAGGTGTAAATAACAAGTCAAAAAGTTTGAGAAGAACATCGTCAGGGCACAGAGGCAAATATTCCAGACTCTAAGATCTTTAGAAAAGACAGGGTCATTGGGAAAGGAGGTGGAGCAGCAATATTCATAAAAGACACTGTTACAGCAGAGGGAAGGAAAGCTTTCAATAAGGACGAACAGGTAGTGGAAACACTGTGTTTAGAATTAAGAAACAGCAAAGGAGGTAAAATTCTGTTGGGAGTAGTCTACAGACTTCCAGAGAGTTGTGATGTAGTGGGGAAATGTATAAATCGGAGATCAGGGAAGCAAGTAGCAAAAGCAATGTGGTTATAATGAGAGATTTTAATTTTCACATAACTGGGAGAAGCAGGACACCTCCGGGTAGTAAAGGCAACACATTTCTAGAATGTATTTAGCATAGTTTTTTGGAGCAATATGCTTTAGTGGAGGGAACAAGCCATACTGGATTTGGTGATGAGTAATGAGCCAGAACTAGTTAACAATTTGACAGTAAAGGAACATCTTGCAAAAAGTGATCATAATATGATTGAATTGACATTGGGTCTGAGAAGGAAAAGGGAGAATCCCAAACCAAGGTTTTAAATTTAAGGAAGGCAAACTACGATGGAATGAGAAATGTATTGACCACAGTAAACTGAGCTGAACTGTTAGTGGGTAAATCTGCAGATGAACAATGGGAGTATTCAAAAAAGTATTTGATACAATACAGAACAAATACATACCCCTAAAATGCAAAAGCTCCAATCATATAGTTAAGCAACCACGGTGGACAAAAGAAGTTAAAAACTGTATCAAGCTAAACGAAAAGGCTTACTCAAATGCAAGAAAAAGTGGGAATGCAGAGGACCGGGAGAATTACAAAAGGCAACAAATGGATACAAAGAATGTAATAAGAGGAGCAAAAAGGGAGTATGAAAAAAACTTGCAAGGGATATTAAAACCAATAGTAAATGCTTTTAATCAATAAATATATTAAAAGAAAGTGAAAGGTCAAGGGGAATGTGGCTCCATTAGAGTTGAGGCTATAATAGAAGTGGCTGACTTATTAAATAAGTACTCTGCTACCATTTAAGGAAATGGCTGACTTGTTAAATAAATACTTTGTTACCATTTTTACAGTAGAGGTTGAGGACAAAATATCAGCTCTTCAGGGGAACCTAAAAATACGTCAAAGAGAAATGCTTAATAAAATTAATATAAATAAAACAATGGTAATGGAGAAAGTAATGGGACTCAAGATAGACAAATCTCCAGGACCTGATAGTTTCCACCCCAGGGTGTTAAAGGAAATAGGAGAGGAAATTGCTGATGCATTCAGCATAATTTTCCAAAGCTCACTAGATTTGGGAATTGTGCCTTAAGGTTGAAAAATCGTGAATGTCACTCCTTTATTTTTACAACAACAACAATAAGATTCCATTTATAGAGCGCCTTTCACGTCGGGAGGACGTCCCAAGGCACTGTACAGTTGGGTCAGGACCCGAGCATTGGGGGGGAAATGGTGAGGGGAGGGAAGGGAGGGAGCGAGGAGGGGGGAAATGGTCAGGGTGAGGGGAGGGAAGGGAGGGAGCGAGGAGGGGGTAGAGAGTCGAGAGAGGAGCTGAAGGCTCATTCAAAGAGAAAGGTCTTGAGACCGGCCTTGAAGGAGGAAAGGGAGGAGGCGGCGAAGGCACTGAGGGATAGAGTTCCAGAGCGTAGGGGCTGAGAGGCTGAAGGCCCGGCCACCAATTGTAAGGCGGTTGGGGCGGGGGATGTGGAGCAGACCGGAGCCAGAGGAACGGAGGGTACGGGCAGGTAGGTAGGGGATAGTAGGTCAGAGAGGTAGGAGGGAACAAGGCCGTGAATGGCCTTGTAGGTGAGGATGAGGATCTTGAAATTGATCCTCTGGGAGGGAGGGAGAAACCAGGAAACTATAGATCTGTCAGATTAATATCAGTTGCAGGGAAAATACTGGAATCCATCATCAGGAACAGAGTAACTGAACACTTGGACAGGTATGAGCTAGTCAAAGAGAGTCAGCATGGGTTTGTGAAGGGTAGGTCGTGTCTGACTAATCTAGTTAAACTTTTTGAGGAGGTCATTAAAATGGTGGCTAAGAGAGTGTCTGTTGATGTTGTTTATATGGACTTTCAGAAGGCATTTGATAAGGTTCCACACAAAAGATTATCAGTGAAGATGGAAGCACATGGAGTCGGAGGTAACCTTTTGACGTGGCTTGGAAATTGTTTGGGAGGCAGGAAACAGAAAGTAGGGATAAAGAAAACGTTCTCTGATTGGCGGGACATGACAAGTGGTGACCCCCAGGGGTCTGTACTGGGACCCCAGCTATTCACCATACATATAAATGACTTGGATGAAGGAATAGAAAGTTTTATACCCAAGTTTGCAGGAGGCTCAGTAAGTTGTGTAGATGGGAGTAGGAAGTTACAAAGGGACTTGGACAGATTAAGTGAGTGGGCAAAGCTGTGGCAGATGGAGTTCAATGTAGAGAAATATGAGGTCATCCATGGACCAGAAAAAGATAAAGCAGAATATTTTCTTAATGGGGAGAAATTAAGAACTGTGGAGGAGCAAAGAGGTTTGGATGTCCATATCCACATATCACTAAAAACTAGTTCCCAGGTGCAAATAGTGATCAAAAAGGCGAATGGAATGTTAGCCGTTATCTCACAGGGCCTCGAATACAAAGGGAAGAAATGAGGCTTCAGCTGTACAGGAGACGGAGGATGGAGCTGTGCCAGAGTGGGGCGGAGCTGGGCCAGAGCGGGGCGGGGCTGGGCCAGAGCGGGACCGGAGCGGGGCCGGAGCGGGTCGGAGCTGGGCCGGAGCGGGTCGGAGCTGGGCCGGAGCAGGGCGGAGCTGGGCCAGAGCGGGGTGGAGAGGGGGAGCTGTAAAAGAACGACAAGCACATCAGCGTGACGTCGTACTTAACCTGGAAAACGTAGAATCTTCCACTTAGAATCTTCCTTTCTGGGTTTTACGTAAATTTATTTTAAAGCCTGCAGTGGTCAGCGGCTGCAGCACTTGTTTTAATTTGTCCATATGCGCGATAGGGTCGTCATCTTTTAAAAAAAACTTACATTTTTTTTAAAAATCCCTAAAATCCAGAATGAGAGAGAGAGGAGGATGGCATGGCAGGTGATGTGCGAGGACTGCGGTATGT